TTTATTTTATTTTATTTCATTCATTCTATCATTTATTTTATTTCATGTTATTATTAAATATATATATATATATATTATTTTTTATATATTTTTTTTCCTCCTTTTCCTCTTCTCTCTTCTTTATTTTTAACTTTCCAAGAGGTTCACATGACTGCTTTGCAGTTTGCCGGTCCCTCTCTTCCTCTTTCATCTTCCTATCATCCTTCTTATTATTTTTACCTTCTAACCCCTCATCCTCTTATACTTATCCTAACTCTATTTTCAGGTTGACATAGCTGTTTGACAGTTTGCCAGTCCCTCAATACTTATTCTTTTTATTTAATCCTATCCTTATTAAAATTTTAGTAATTTTTACTTGCTACTAAATAATTTTTTGCACTTCTTTGAGGTAGACATAGCTGCTCTGCATTTTGCCCGTCCCTCATTATCAGTGCTAATCTTAACATCTAACTTTTTTGTTCTGTTTTTATACACACAACACCCTTGTATACACGCATCCTCCCTCCCCACCTTACCCACTATTTTAGTGGAGACTTGGGAACCCTTTCATTAGGGATTCCATACCACACCTGTAATGCCACAAAGGTTGCTAGATATATCTACTGTCCTTTTATTTTTGTTTTTTTGTTTTTTTTTTGTTACAAAGCAACGAGTGAACCCCCTGCACCCTCCCCGTAGATCCGCCCCTGTGTATGTAACGTTTAAGTGGCACAAAAAATTAGGGCACAACAGATTTGTAACAAAACTATTGCGTATTCTTTTTCCGAAAAACGATCAATCTTACAAACCCTAGTATTAACGATAAAATTGGAAAAGAGGTGAAGAAAGGGATCGGGGTGAGGGAAATAAAGTTGCGTCGCATGGTGACAAGGGGGTGTAGGGCTTTAATAATTAAGAAGCCTTGACTGTGCTCTGCTCTGTTTTGTTGTAAAGCACACAGGAAGCGACTAGAGCAGGAAAGAAGTCTAGGGCCAAGAAACGCAAGACGTAGTCAAGTGTTTCTCTCTACTTCTTGTACGCTCTAGCCTCTTCCTAAGAACTTTACAACAGAACTGCAGAGCACAGTTAAGGCTTCTTTGTTTGTTCTATGGTAAAGAATCCATTAAATTTCCTCACGCGCGAATTACTTTCTAATTTTCAAACCAAAATTTTGGCTTCGTGTTATATAGTCTCATTAAGCACGCTTTTTTAATCAATCAGAGTGTGAGTTATTTCTGAACTTTATTCTACCAAGGACCAAATTTAGCTCTAGAACGACTGCCCGAGCACAAAACTGACAAACTACAGTCAGTTCACCTGTCACTGTACCAAAAATAGGATTTCATCCATCAAATTTGCTCAGAACCAATATGGTGCAAAAAAGGCAAACAAAAGTGGAACCCCGATAAAACGAAGGCCCAAGGGATTGGCGCTAAAAAGGGTTTCGTTTTATCGGGGTTCTTAAATTTTCAAGAATAATGTGCTATGCATAGGAAGAAGAATATCGTTCGTTATACCGAGGACCTCGCTGTAAAAAGATTCGTTGTATCAAGGTCTGTAATTTACCCCATTCCCTCATAGCTTGCACTTATAAACCATATTTGTTCCGAGCAAATTTTATTTACTCTTTATGCGACAAATGTGAGCAAGTTTCCTGTAATATAAACTGATATTTATGGCAAAAATGTAAGTCAGATACGAAATTTCCATTCTCCTCAATGAGATTAAAAAGGCGAAAAAAGCCAGAACAAAGTCATACAGCAAAAGTTTAGTCAAACAAGAAAGGTACACTACTTTCAATTCTTCGGTGCCATATCAGTTAAGCATACCTTTCGGACATCCGGGACTTCCGTTTTCTTGAGCGTATCCGGGACAGCACCGATACTCTGTTAAATAGCGCCGCTCTGTCCTATGCGATCATGAGAGAATATTTAAATTGTTTATTACATTTTCCACTTGTGAACATGTATTCGGTCGGTAGAAAATGATTATGGCTTAAAACACATAAATTGATGGGTAAAAAATGTATGAATTGTAAATTCTTTAGCAAATTTGTTGTAATTGCGCGGGACAATAGGAGCCCGCAATCCTAATCCCCAGGTTGTTATTACGCATGCGTCGTATGTACGTAACCAGCATTTGTTTGGACTTCAACTAAGAATGAATGGAATGCACAGAACGCAATTTGATCACGCGCATTTGGGTCTTCTATCACTCGTAATCTGATCACGCCCGTTTTGACCATCTGTCACTTGAAGCTTACGCAAAGCCTAGCGCTGGTCGCTGGAGCAAAAGCGTTTTGAAGTTCGATCGTTGTCGCCCCCCTCCGTAACCTTTGGTTATTAATAGTTTTATTTATTTATTTATTTATTATTTTTTAATGAAACATGCTGTGCATTTCATGTACACAACTTTATATCTGCGAGTTGACGTCACTAACCTGCATTGCAGTCGACGTTTCCCAGGCACTTTCTGACATTTTCGAAAAACTCCTTTAAGAATGTGATGCTCGCAAACGTTCGGGCTACAAGGAGAAAAAGAAGAGGTAGTTTTGTCTATCTCTGGCTGCAAGGCATTAATGTTGTACATTGATAGGTCGTCGGGCACTAGAAGAAACTGGAAACGACTGAGTGTGCGCGCTGTTACGAGCGTGCAAGTTTGCAGTTGGCGTATCTACGAATCGCTAATAAAATAAAAACATTCTTTATCCTTTCATTACCTTCAATAAGCGCACTTATTTTTTTTATTGTTAATAGGCACCGCACTCGAATAAGCAACAAACCGCTCTCAGCGTCAAAGCCTTGAACAACTGTGGCCAGATTTACAAGCGCGCGTCAACTGATTTACAGTTTACATGCAAATAGGTACATTCACGGCACGCCTTACATGTAGCATTTTGGAAACTTGATTTCAAGTTCATTCTCAAGGATTTTATCCAGGTATGGACCCCTCCCGTTCCTGCGAAAATGGTAACGTCGTACATTTGACGTTCAGCCCAGTGAATCTCTCTACTCATGTTTTACAAATCCAGTCCGGTCCATGTTTACACAGTCCAGTTCTGTCCAGTCCTGTCCAGTTCACCTTTACAACAAGCCTGGACGTTAACGGTTAAGTTTTGTCACTGACCCCTGGCTTGTGGAACAAATTTATAAAATCAAAGCTCTGCGTTCATATTTTTAAAAGCATCCCCCACCCCCTCTTCCTTTCCACAGAGACAAGTTGGTATGTCGATTCATGTCGTGACCAAACACCGGATGTATAAAGCTATAAAAAGGGCGTAGTAAAGGTTAAACCAACTTCCGGAAGTTTGCTTGTCTCAAATTCCATAAATAATCGAAATGTCGTCAATTTGGAAAAAAAGGACAAAAACGTTATCTTGCACAATAGAAAAGAAAGAGAAAAAAGCACTTCTGCACGAAAGAAGGCAAGACATCCGAAAGGGGTAGGGGTAGGGGGGTTGAAGCACTAAATGTAGAAATCCAGCAGGCAACGATAATTTTATGGCCACAAAACCGCAGCTGACCAGCCAACCTTTTTAACCATGTTATTTTGCATAATAGGGGGCATTTACCTTACGAATTCTATATTAGTCCATAGAAAAGACCTTACTTTCTTCCTGTAACAAATGTCTGCCCTATTTTGGGTTAATATTCGTTGTATAATCAAAAGAAAATATGCGAGTCTCGGTTCCTTCTTTGATATGTAATTCAGATACATCGTACTCTAACAGACAATTGTCTTAGTTCATTTACTATTAAAAGTAAATAGATAAAGTATTCACTTTTATAATGATTAAATTCGTTCCCTGAAGATGTAGTCTCTAACTTGAGCAAAACCAAGCAGAGATAAAAAGGCATGCGATTGCTGTTGTTAACTTACCCCCCGGGGGGGAGTACTGCCATATATGGGCTATATAGGTATGTGCCGCTGTGAAGGGTATGGTTTTCAAGCAGTTTACTCTAGGATAGGGTATACAAATCAGAGCGTTTGGCTCTAGAATAGGGTATCATTTTTCAGGAAACTGATCAGTTGGTTGAATATTTTATCTAGACTAGGTACACAGCTACTCTAGGATAGGGGGATATGGGGAGTTTACTCTAGTATAGGGTATCATTTTTCAGGAAACTGATCAGTTGGTTGAAGATTTTATCTAGACTAGGTACACAGCTACTCTAGGATAGGGGGATTTGGGGAGTTTACTCTAGTATAGGGTAGCAAAATTCAGCTGAACTAGCTCTGGTAAAGGTTAAGGGTTCCAGGCTCCCAGCGGCACATCCCCACCCAGAAATTCCTAAAGTGCCCCCCCCCGGGACTTACCCTTGGCCATTGGGCAAAATTTCTGGTTTACCATTTTGAGGCTGTGTTTGTCCTTTCTCTGGTTCACTGAACCAGTCTTGCCAATACTCTCGCCACTGAAAAGGACTCCACCAGGTTGATGAGCTTTGTCCCAAGGAACAAGCGAAGATTACCAAACTAAACCATAGATACTTCGACATTTCAGTATGTAATACGCACCGTGAGAGGCTTGTGGGACTAAAGTGCGTGACACTCGCTGTCTGAAACGGAGGTATCGAGTATCTGACAAATTTGTCCATTAGAAGTGTCAATCAAAAATTGCAACAATGTGCGATTTCTAGTTTTCTGTAAGGTCTGTAAGAGATTTTCTGTAGTTTTCAGTGGTGTTTTTTCGAATTTAATGTGGCTTGTAAAAACTAAAACGGCAGTATTAATCACTTAAATGATAAATAAATTGCGATTCATACCTACCGTATTCCCTCGAATAAAATGTCTTCCGTTCGATTTAATACACTAATGCATCAGTATGCATATCAGAAAATGTTAGCCTCTACACAGAATTTATTTTCTTTTTCTTTTCGAAAATCGACGACACGCTCACGCGTGAAAGCGAGTGCGTAGAGCGACAACGGAGGCAATTCCCCGTTTCCCTAGTCTGGCTAAAATCTTCAATCAATTGATCATTTTCTTGGAAAATGATACCCTATTCTAGACCCAAACTCTTTGATTTATCTACCCTATCCCAGAGTAAACTGCTTGAAAACCCTTCACAGCCCATACCTATATAGCCCATTTATGGCAGCACCCCACTACCCCCCAAGAACGACAACAGCCACTTGCTACTCCGATCGCTACGTCACGTAAATCAACTTCCTCTGAATCGAAAAAGCGGCTGAAATGAAAGAAAATCTGTGTAAACAGATAAGCTTAGACGCTATAAAATATCTGGAACGTGAGCCAGATGCGTTTGTTCCGAGCGTAGCGACTTTATAATCTTGTCGCGCGCGAAGCGCGCGCACAGTCTGCTAACCGCGCGTGGTCTTAGCCAGCTGCGAAATTCGAGGCTTCATAAATAAATAAATCTTTATTTCTCGGAATATATGCTTGGTATCAGCCAATGACGTCATGGAGCAAAAATCCTAGCTTTGTTCTTTTGAGGGCGATGAAAGATTTCAAAGTATTTAAAACAACGTTTTTCGTTTTATTATAACTGATAGGAGAATTTTATCGCTTGATGTAATTTTTAAAACAACTGAAGTTCATTTGAGCGAAAGACTTCCTTTACTGTTAGGAAATAATATTTTGTTTTCAAGCGTCGGCGTGGTAGCCAAACGGTTAACAGCTCGGACTTCAAATCTGTGGGTTCGAGTTTAAACCCTAGGCCTGGTTTCGAGAAACTTCTTGTTAATTACTTTGTCTCTTTTTACCCATATGTACAAAGGGGTATCGGTGACATTCTGCTTGGGGGAGTGCGGGATCCTGCAGTGTTGACACAGTACTCTAGGATACTTCATGTTTCAAAAACCGGGTTAGGCGTCAGCTGTGTGGACCTCATGGTACGTCTGCGTACAAAAGACCTTTTATAATACTGTAGTGTACATTCATACATTCAGTATGTGAAAATCAGTATGTTTCATCAAAGTAAGTCTAAGCTCCACATATGAAGTAGCAGTCTTAATGCCTTTAGGTTGGCGTTTCTCCAAGAGTGGTTTGATCTTGGCCAGTTTCAGGCCCTTTTGATTTTGCCGTAACCATATCGTCTTTACTGTGGCCTTCAAGAGGACGAACTCTGGCCTTTCTGTGATTGATAGGAATCAAAACCATTGGAATAAGAAATGCAACCATAAGAACAGCACCAGTCATGTAAAATGAATAAACATAGCTTCCAGTCTGGTCCACTATCAAGCCTAAGAAAAAAACAGATAACGACTATGTTAGGTTTGTTTTAAAACCCCAAATATATTTTTCCTTTCGTTTTGCCACTTTTCGTTGGGATTACAATAGAAGCCCATTAAAGCTCATTAACTTATTAAGGATATGGGTGTACCAATTTGTACCGCCATCAGCCCATTTCCGAATGTTTTCACAACAAAGTATGACATCCTGATAGAAAGCTAGGATATAGAAAAAAGAGTTTACACTCTTCGTAACCAATATAGCATCGTGGCTTTACAACTGACAGATCAGACAACCAGTAACATAGAGCCTTCATTGACTAATCACACTGGTCAGTAACGAGAGAGTCATACCGTGAATAGGAATTCTCGAGGTACTTCACAAGGAATGACAACAGTGATGATCCCTAACACTTACACAATAACATAATAAACTTCACACCACAGAACGACACAATAGTGCATATCATGACATGGTAAATCGAGCATCACCACCATCAACTTAGCCCTCGGAAGTACACGTAAAATCATACCCCCACCGTGGTACATTGGGGGGTGGATAGACCCCCAACTCCCCTCCCTCTAGAGTTTTTGCTTTGTTGCAGTATTTGGAAACGATTTTACCTTCAGTGGAAAGACTTTGATCTTCTCTAGAAGATGAGGTATATTTTATGGTTGGTGGCGCTGCTGGGGGCCTGTGACGTCACCAACAATGGTTGCAATCTTAGCCGCCATCTCGGTTTTACCAAGAGTTAGAAATTAGGTTAAAACCGCGAGAAATGTTTTTTTTTTGTGCTTGACATGAAAATAATAAGCACTTTGCTTGATTTTAGCCACAAGATTTACTTTTATGTTGGAAAAAGTTGGAAAGACATGTACTTTCACTCAAAAATAACTTGACCACCTCCTACTTATGACGTCATATCTCGTAACCATAGAAACTGACCATTACTGAACTTGACTCAAACTGGGCGCGAGGGTTGAACGAACAGCTACTGAAAACATCAGGTGCTGATGTTTTATCCTCCAGGAGAAAACTCAGAAAAACTTTAAGGGGTGGCATCCCAACCCCCCCCTACCTTGTACGTCCTAGGTTAAATGATACAACCTCACTTTTGACTCTGAAGATGACTAACGCACAAACGTCCGTCATTATCAACCACTATCCTACTGAGGACAACACTTCAAAGACGATCATATCCAAACTACTTATGAAAGAGTTTACTGGTAAGAAAAGAATTGCAAATTAACTCACCAGCAATGGGCCCACCGGCGGCTGCTGTAAATGAATAAAGAACGTTATTGATACAGAAGGACGCTGTTGTTCTTTTTGCATCCACACAGCTCAAAAGAATAAAACACTGAGTTGCTATGAAAACTCCATCACTGAAGCCATATACAGCACTGAAGATAATTAAGTACCCGTATTTGGTGGCAAACTGAAGCAAAAAGGCGGAGATAGAAGCTAAGAGCATGGATGCTTGGTGCATAAAAACTGGATTTACATTCTTGTTGTTGCACACCTTTCCCGTTATAATCCGGCCAAGCGACGAAGAAAGGCCAATATAAATGAACAGTAGTGAAGCATCCTGGGCGGTTATTCCGTTATCCTCGGAATACTCAACCTATAAACACAATCGATACAGTTAGTGTAGTTTTATTGGCCCCAAGGAGACCCATATCTATAGAGCTTTGTATAGAGACGCCATGTTGGTGCCATGTTCTCTTGTGGAACTCCTAAACATTTAAGTGTCACTTTTGCCAATACAATGACTGTTAAGATAGCAAAATACAAGAAAACAAGTCACTATGCGTGCAAGAATTTTGTTGTGACAAAATCGTCCGTCTGTATGTCTCCCCTTTTACGTTAGAGGATGTGAAATTACAAACGTACTAGTTTGGAGTTGAAGGCATATCTCATTTCCTTGAATAAGCGCTAATGCTCTTATTAGCGCCTTCCCCCAAATAAGCGCCCACCCTTAAAACCATTATATCAAATAAGCACCCCCTTCGAATGAGCGCCCCTCCACTCCCCCTTACTTTCTTGAATATTAGGGATACATGGAAAATCAGCTTTATGGCCACTTTATTTTTCACTTTTTAGGCGTCAATTACAGCGGAATCAGTATGGGAGAATAGTTTCTTATCCGTTAAGTCACTTCCATTTAGTTTTATATGTATGTGCTCGCTTGCAGTGTTCCTCAATGTGGGTTATCTCTTCTTTTAATTTTTGTCCTATTGCCTGCGCTCTTGGTACATGCCGCAAACTTCCTTTCCAAGAACGACTAGACCATTCTCTAGTTCTTTTAAAGGGATAATTAATTTAAGCGTTCTCCTCCTGTCAATTAAGCGTCCTCATTCGATCAAGCGCCCATCCTTTTAGCTGACATCTGAAATAAGCGCCCGGGTGCCTATTCGAGGAAATACGGTACACAATCTGTGTCTAACTTGATATTGGACGTCCATGTTGTGGTCAATTGACAGGTGTCAAAATAGAGTATCCGCTGGCCAATATCACCTGACTTTATCATGGTGTACAATTCATTGAAGTCACGTTTTTTTGATTCTCCGCTGACCAGTCATCGTTTTTCAACTGATATCAGGCTCAGGCCCTGCAGTATTTCAGGAGGAATTCCCTTTCCTTTACTTAATAGGCGAAAGTAGAAATGTACTCCTGAAAGATATTTCTTATAAGATCCCACCAGAGCCGTTCGATTTTGGCCCTGTCTAAAACTAAATATTATTTGTTTTTAATATAGTACTTAAATAATGGACTTTTAAAGACAGAAAAATGTGGCGTTATAACAGGCTGGTCGCATCGGGTGGTCACACTAATGAGGTGGTCACGTTTAACGAAGACTCCGCATTAACTAAAGGGGGTCGTATTAATAGGGCTGGTCTAATGGTGAAGTTACACAATAGCTTAACTTCCCCTGTTTTTACTTTAACTGGAAAAACATGCAGGAAAAGCAAAGCGGAAACTAACCAGATAGATGTACGGAATGTACATTCCAAAACTCCCAAACACAAAAGACATGACGGATGCAGCAAACGTAGGAAACGTCCACACGCTACAGTAAAGAGAAATGCCACTTCTTTCACCTCTCTCAGTATCCTCACTGTTATTGATGAATTCAATCTCTGTTGTTTTTTGTACATTTGGGTTGTATGTTAAGCTCAGAATACAGACAATTGTGAAATACGCGGCAGCTACTCTGTACGTGCCTCTCCATCCAAACGAATCCAAAAGAACTTGAAGCAGTGGACCTGTAAATAGGACACCCACACTTGCTCCCAAAGCTACAATGCCCGTTGCCATGGACAATTTTTCTTTAAAGTACTGTGCAGTAACAAGATAGCTGCAGTTGTAGATAAAACATACCCCCAAACCAAATACCAGGCTGTGGGTGAAATACATAAGATTGAGATTGTGGGAAAATGACGCCATCGCCAGGCCAGTCACGCACAAGGCGCCTCCGATGAAGTTTGTAATGCGACAGCCAAAGCGATCAGAAAGATAGCCAGACAGCGGACTAGCAAACCACGTCATGCCCAAAGCTAGTGAGCCAACAAGAGCTGAAAAGGAATTTTTATTTCGGTTTAATATCATCATTATGAACATCAGCACGTATTCATTTCTAACACGCGTCAGATACAAACTAAAAGGTGTGCATGGATTAGGAAGAACTGATAATAATGAACTATTGTAATAATTAACTACTATAGAGTGTTTTCACTCACGTGGCCAGCATCTATGCAAATTTATTGGAACAAAAGAAAGCGTTTGCATAAGAAAGGAGTTCAACTCCCACAGGATTGGTTTGGGACACCAACATGGCCGCCGTTTCATTGTTTTGGGACACCAATATGGCCGCCGTGACGTCATGTGAAAACACTCTATTGCTTGTTATAATACAGATGAATATCAAACAAAAAGTGACGTAATTAAGTATGTCGACTAAGATGGCATGCTGTATCTCATAGTCTACTTTTCTTTAATGGAGTGTGTTTTTGTTGTTGTTTGATTCCTTGAAGCCCGCTTTTTTTAACAGTTAATTCGGTTTTTACTACCGTTCGCATCCTCCGACTCCCTCTTATCGACTCTTCAGTGGAGTTATCGTTCAATGGACAACGAGTGGACGTGGAAGGTTGATTGAATCATAGACTTCAGTTATCCTCGGGCTTTTCTGAGGTTTTTTAGAATGGGCGCACATCTTTGACTCACGCGCCTTTTTGGAACGAAACAGTTTACCGTGTAGAAAAAAGACAAAGAGCAAGAGCGAAGATCAATATCAATCTGACTTGCAACTCCCAAGAATTTGTTCAAGATTTTCCTTATAGATGCTGATTTTCAAATGTTTGCACTAAGGAGAAGTGACGGTAATTCGACGTAAGTGACGGTTTTATGCAGAATTGCAACGACCAATTCGTTTCATCTTTAAGTCAGATATATGATTCATACACTTTTAGCGGAGCTCTCGCGCGCGAAGCGCGCCAGCGGAGCACCATGGGTAAGAAAATGAAGTAATCTACCCATCCGCGAAAATTTGGTAATCACGTGACCGTACACCGACCGACCGCTCGCCCGAGAGACCGTCTGTCCGCACCACAGGCATACCAATATAAAATAACTCAATCAACAGGTATGGTAACCCAAATGCAACTCGAGGTTATTTTGGCGGGAAATCGCATAGCCACTGGCGTCTTGTAAAGCAGAGACAACAAAAGAGTCAATAAAGACTAAAACGGAAGCGGAAATTGTTTCTGTATCCGTGTTGCCTAAAGTATTAAGCTTAGATAAATTGTCCATGTCCACTAGTTTGGAATATAGAGCAAGAGAAAGACAGAGAAAAAGAGAAAGTGGGCGGTAGGCCAGCGAAGCTCAACGAGAAAAAGGGCGACAGGGATTTAGAGCGAGAGATAAAAAACAAAGGAGACATTTTTTTGTTCAGAACAACAGGAAAAGTTTGTAGGGGCGGTGACAAAATGAGAAATGCTAGCGGCCGCCAATGCAAGCTGAAAATGAGCGGCAGTGAACGGGAACACGTAAGACATTTCATCCATAAAACGTGTAACTAAGGGCCTGTTTACATGGAGGTGGGGGACCCCAGGTAGGTGAGGTAACCCGCTTAGGTGGGGTAACCCGGTCTGGTAGACCGGGCTACCCGCCTTGGCGGGTCACCCCACCTATCATGTAAACGTGATCAAATGAAAATGAGAGATTATATGGACAGGCGGGTTACCCCACCTAAGCGGGTTACCTCACCTACCTGGGGTCCCCCACCTCCATGTAAACAGGCCCTAAGAAGTTTCTGGAAGTTTCACGTGTTAAAAGTCGTGCAAAACAAAGGCAAAGAAATGAACAAAAAAAGTGTGCTACACGCGCAAAGTTACTTTCGCTAATTAGACCTATTGTTGTTTTCACCTTTTTCCGGCGTTGCATGCCTTCGCCGCTTTGCATTACACGATTTTATATTTTGTTTGAACAAATTATGAATATTATTGAGAGCTTCGCTTTTAGCCCTGGCTAAATCTATATATTACTGAAAGTAGCATAATCATTCTATGAGCTGAACGGTCATGGTTTATGGTTACTTCCAAAATGGTTATTTTTAAAATTAAGAATTTATTACTCTTACGCATTCTAATGATAACCATAAGAGCTTACTATCTACATGTACTTCTATGGACAGTATACATCATTGCATTGTGAACACAAAAAAACTTTTAATACATCGAAAGCGGACTACTTTCGGCTAGCTCAACTGGGAAATTTTTACATTTAATTTAACTCTGAATACAATTTTTCCGACATGGTACCCTCACACACATGCACGATGAATGTCCTTTAAAGCCTCGGGGCTTATACTATTGAAATATCAAGTTGCGGTATTTGGTTAACACGAGGAACGTAACTGCATGCATGACGACGGATAAATTAAACAAAGCTGCCAGAGAAGAAATAATCAAGAATGCATATTGAGACACAACAATGCTACATGTTCAATATTACGAAATATGTCAAAATTTGTAATTTGTAAATGATAATAGAAGCTATTTATGGAAGTAAGCTTTTAGAATCATGTGGCATTTACATAGTTGTATTACGATAATATAAGCCTTTAATCAAGATCTTAACCATCGTCATAGTCTTTTATAATTATTATTTATTTTCATCTAAATTAGCTTAAACAGTGACTAACAGTGATGTCTTATCCTGTCTTATGTTCTACACGTGTGTATTGTAATGATTTAGGGCTAATTTTCAGAAGAGCGGACAATAATAGAAATTCGACATCTGCTGATTTACATTCTCAAAAATACCTTATGACCTTGAGTCTGATCACAAGACAATATTGTTTTTCAGATAGAGACTGTTAAAATGTTTTAACGTGTAATACAGAAAGAAGAAGGCCACAAGATTTAATAATCACCACTAAATCGTAGCAAAAGGAGGCTGAGACCTACCTAAAACGACACACTGAAAAAGTATTAAAGCTCGTCTTTGAAAACATTTTTGAAATTGTTGATTTTGTAGCTCTGGGGTCATTCAGATCACGTGCGTGAAAAATCCACGCACAAAAAAAGAAAACAAAAAAATCACCGCTAAATCGTAGCAAAAGGAGTTTGAGACCTATTTGAAACGACACACGTACATTGGAAAAGAATAAAAGCTTGTCTGTGAAAGTTGAATTACCAAGCTAAGGTTTTGTAGCTCTGGGGTGATGCAGGTCACGTGCGTGGAAAACACACGAAGTGGAAAACAAAATAACCAAAATGTTTTTAGTTATTTTCCCCACCAAAACTGATTGATCATTGATCACGTTGATTGGCAAAGAAATGTAGAGAAGTGAACAAAACTATCAGTAAAGGGCATCGGAGTCTGCATGTTTGTGGTTTGGTCCGCAGACGCCGGTAGCTGTTGTTCTTAAAATTCCCTAGTTGCATAACACAGGGCGGAGAGAATGAATTGAAACTTAGTTTCGCCTTATTAATTGTTCATCTTTAGATCTGAATAATGTAAGACAGGGAATGAAGCTAAAAATGATTGAATATAGACTTAGTGTCTTAGTGTTTTAGATGATGTTGATGACAAATATAATTACTACGACGGACTCACTGGGGTAAGTAAAAAAATGTAAGCATCGGCATCTTAAAAACAGTTTTGTTTGTGGTTTGGTCCGCTGACGCCGGTAGTTGTTGTACTTAAAATTCCCTAGTTGCATAACACAGGGCGGAAAGAATGAATTGAAACTTAGTTTCGCCTGATTAATTGTTCATCTTTAGATCTGAAAATTGTAGGACAGGGAATGAAGCTAAAAATGATTGAAAATAGACTTAGTGTCTTAGTGTTTTAGATAATGTTGATGACAAATATAGTAATTGCTACGACAGACTCACTGGGGTAAGTAATAAAAATCTAAGGACAGAAAGAAAGACTACGAGAAATATGCATTTGCGATGCACAGGTTTAAGCACTAGACCAGTCTTTCAAAAAGGCAAGTTCTTTCCGGATAGTGTTCAAGGTATAACAAACAAATAGAAGAAAAACATGATTCTTTCTACTCACCGGTTCTTTCCCTTGTCTCATTGAAATAGTCCAGCAATACAGGGAACAGAACACCGAAGCTAAGAACAAAGCCAAGGTTAAGAGCATTGCAAATCGCTGCTGAAATACACACAACCCACGACCAAGCACTGTCTTGATGATGCTTGTTTCTGAAACACCTCCATAATTTAGCAAGTCTCTCGTGGCGATCACGATCTTGCTCTGCGTTTGTCTGCATTTTCGTTTGGTCTGAATATATTCCGCCAGAGACTCGACTTAAGGCCTCATCGCAAGCAAACCTCTTCTTCTACTTAGGACTCCTTTGTGTCGAGTAATAAAAAAACGTTTTGCGAACGTTCTGCGTCACGTTAGCAAGTTTTTAGGGGATTAATATTAGGCGATTTCATTCAGGTTATATCCGGATTGTAACGGTGATAAAACAAACATAATAAGAAATTTAATTTCCTTTCTGGTTGGCTAGACTTTGTAGAGTTATTGGCCAATAATAATGCCACATGCCCAAATATCCGTGTCCAAAGCTTATCCGGTAACGATGTGCGCGCTTTTTAATTCGGGTTAAAGGTTTCCTTCTTCTTTCGGAAGTGCATCACTATTAATACCATTCGCAAGGTATGTCTGATCGGTAATTTAACCCCACGTATGAGTACCCAGATTCCGGAATCCGGGTAGTTTTGCTTGTGTCGAAAAGTCCGGAAACGATGAACATTTTGCTTTTGGAATCCGGAATCTTAGGCCTTGGGATACGGAATACAGAGAAGTTTGAAGTTTGAAGTTTATTGGTCTTCATAAGTTACAAATTAAATTAAATTAAAAAAAATATAATACACAAACATCCTCTGCTCGTAAAGAGCTTGGCTAATCGAGGTGAGCAGAGGAAAACATAAAGAAATTATTAATAACTAAGAAGAAATTAAGAAGGGGAAACTTGAAAAGGAAGATAGATGTATATAAATGACTGAAGTTATTACAATGCAATGTTACAAAATTTGCAAACTTATTTTACATTTCTTGTCATCTTGCTTAGTTTATTCATTAAAGCAGATGTGTCAACATGAGTATCCTCCACTTTACTTACAGTGTAAGTTTGGAATCCAGAATTCAGGAATCCAGTCCCTGGAATCTGGAATCGGAAATCGTCTGAGTGGAATCTAGGATCCAAGACTGTCTTGCATTCCCTGACATGGGGCGAGTAATTTCTGACAAATAGGGAGCTTAAGCAGCGACGACGGCGACGGCAACGAGAACAGCAAAAAAGCAGTTATAGGTTTAGGGCCTGTTTACATGGAGTGGGGGACCCCGGTCTAGTGGGGTAGGTTTCTTTTGTTTTGTGTCCCCCAGAGCGTGAAAACAAAAGAAACCAACCCCACTAGACCGGGGTCCCCCACTCCATGTAAACAGGCCCTTAGATTGGCAAAACAACAACTTCGGCATGTGCGTCATGCTTTCTTCTACATTTCTTAGCCGTCGCCCGACTACAACGAGAAAGTGCCTGATTTCACGTTTTGTCGACGACGGGAACACAAAACAACAGCCGTTTGCTTTTCCTCTTTCTCTCCCCGAACTTTGACACAATCCTTTAGAATTCAACTTCCAAGAAATTTGCCAATATTTGACGAATTAACGTGGCCCGAACTTATTTATTTGCGCGTTTGTTTTGTTTTTGAATCGCGTTCTTCGGCAGAAATGATTTAACCGATTTCTATGATTTTTGGCATCCTTAATAAAGAGCTAAGCAAAGACAACGGTGACGGCTACGGAAACTTCACTGAAAAAGTGAAGTCGCAAGGAGATGGAACTGAGTGCGATAAAGTTTGAGGCAGCGCGAGCCCTCACCGTCGTCGTTGCTTAAGCTCTTTAAAAGTGGTAGGTCAAGCCTCAGACTTGACTGGCTCGGCCAAATACCTTGTGTTAGCTTACAGCACACAAAGGCATTTCTACCTCGCATTTGCATACAATCGGAGGTCACGTGAGATAGCAAGTATGCGATATCCGAGCTCAGTGCAAGTTTGGTGTCCGAGCGAGTCAGTTGTGTAACTTATAGAGAGAGGTTCTTTTAGGATTTTTACTGCGTTTCCGACGTTATTCTGACCGACCGTTCCTGATGTCGCAGATAGGCGAACACGAGGCGCTCAACGACGACCCGCTATCGGATGAAGTTCTGGACGAAGGAGAATTACTCAAAGACTCTGGAGAAGATAAAAATATGGCGGCCGAGCCTGGCACAAGCGGCGCGAACGTTTCGCTGTCCGCTGCCGACTTTAAGAGTCTTTCCCTGGCAATATTAAATGTGTCAAAAAGACTCGATAAATTGGAGGACAAGCCTTCTACGACGGGTAAAGGCCCTGGCAAACGACCGAGCCAGGAACACCAAAATGCCGTTCCCGCCAAAAAGCCCGCCAAAGAATGCTCGAGCTCCTCGAGCGAGCAAAATACCTCGGATAACGAGGATGTTCAAACACTCATGGCTAAGGTTGCCGGCGATGTTGACGATCTCGGTAACGGGGACGAAGATGAAACGCTTACAGAACTACAGAAAGAGTACGAGTCTGAAGACTCTATCGGGAAGAACATTCAAAACCCACAATTTGCCAAGCTCCTTGGCAAGATGTTTCGCAATCGTTTGCCAGACAAAGTCCTTAAAGAGAAGCTCGAGCGACAAGCTCGACCGGAAAACTGTGAAACTGTAAAACCCACACGTGTCAACCCGGGTATTTGGCGAAAACTTCGTGAGCACACGCAAAAGAGGGACTTACAACTGTACAAGATGCAGCAAGCCCTCGTTAAGGGTATAATCCCGGTCGCCCGGTTGACAGACCTGACCATGTCAGAAAAGCATGGGTTAGACAAAGAGGGCATGCAGCTGATCAAGCAATTTGGGCTTGATGCCCTGTCACTACTAACGCATGTAAACTATGAACTAAACATGCAGAGAAAACAGCTCATGAAACCTGACATTGGCAAAGACTACGCCGCCCTTTGCTCACCTCATGTACCATTCACAGACCTGCTTTTTGGTGACGACCTCCAAAAGCAGTTGAAGGACATAGGTGATGTAAACAAGATTGGTGCAAAGGTACAAAACCATAGAGGATCTCAGAGGAATCCTTCTGGTTACAACAGCAGCAATACAAACAGACACACTTTTTCTCAACGGAATCCAAAAAACTCAAAGGCCAAACATTCAGACCTTGGCGTCACAAGGAGACTCAAAGATGAACCCAAACAAGAGGTCATCACAGTAGCTCATGGTCTTAACACGGTAAATTCTGCTGTACAAAATTTTGTTGCTGGTAACATAGCTCATCACTTTTCTGAGTGGAGGTCTATTACCTCAGACCCAAGCATCCTTGAGATTGTATCGGGCTATCTTATCGATTTTGAACGGTTACCATACCAAACATATGTGCCCTATATAAAATTTTCTAAAGGTGATGAACACATTATTGCAGTAGAGGTTCAAAACCTTCTTGATAAAGGTGTTTTGAGCAAGACAACACACTGCAATGGAGAATTCATCTCTTCGGTCTTCACAAGACCAAAGAAAGATGGGTCTCATAGACTCTCCTGAACCTCAAAAATCTTAATGAGTTTGTTACTTACCAGCATTTTAAAATGGAATCCCTCCAATCAGCTGCCCAACTACTTAAAAAGGACTATTGGATGGCAGTTCTAGACCTCAAGGATGCTTATTACTCTGTACCGATAAATCTCCAGCACAGAAAATACCTAAGGTTTGAATTTAACGGAACCCTTTACGAGTTTAATTGCTTGCCAAATGGCCTGGCCTCGGCCCCTAGGGTCTTCACCAAGCTTATGAAACCCGTCTATGCAACACTGAGATCCAAAGGATACCTAATAGTGGGTTACATAGACGACATATTACTAATGGCAGAAACACCAGAGCAGCTATCGCAAGTAGTTGCTGACACGGTTGCCCTACTCAGGGCACTTGGCTTCACAATCCATGATACTAAATCTGTCACGACACCCTCTCAGATAGCCAAATTTTTGGGATTCATATTGAATTCTAAGAATATGACCATCTCCATGATCCCAGAGAAGGCTGATATTGTACGATCTAAGTGTCACAGCCTTGTGCAGATACAAAGTCCTGCCCAAATCCGAGAGGTGGCCTCAGTTGTGGGTTTGATGGTATCCTCATTTGCAGGAGTGTACTATGGGCCATTATTTTATAGATCTCTCGAGAATATCAAAACTGATGCACTGCAAGCAAATGGCTGGGATCTTGAGGGGAAAGTAACACTCTCACCCCTGTGCAAACAAGACCTCCTTTGGTGGATAAATAATGTTGACCAATATCCACCAACCATCACACCACAAATCCCACATCTAACCCTGACAACCGACAGCTCACTTACGGGCTGGGGGGCAGTGATAGAGGGTACCTCAAGTGTTGCAAGTGGTAGATGGTCATTCCAGGAACCCCAACTTCATATTAATTTCCTAGAGTTAAAAGCCATCCTTCTGGGACTGCAGTCACTCTGCAGTCACCTTACAAATTGTACCATCAAAGTGCTTTGTGACAATACAACTGCAGTCTCGTACATCCGCAGTATGGGTGGCTCTAAATCTAGGAACTGCAATGATATAACTAGGGAAATTCTCATCTGGTGCATGCAGAGGCAGCTGGCACTATCAATCTCCCACATACCAGGAAATTAAATACAGAAGCTGATAGAGCTAGCAGAGAATCACACAACAGTAATACAGAATGGTCCCTAGACCCTACCATTTTTGATGAACTTAAACTTAAATGGGGCGATCCTGAAATAGACATGTTTGCATCAAGGCTGAACCACAAAGTGTCTCCATATGTAGCCTGGAAACCAGATCCAGGTGCAGCAGCTATTGATGCATTCACTCTGGATTGGTCCAGATATAAACTTATCTATTGTTTTCCTCCTTTCAGCCTCATAGGCAAAGTCCTTCAGTTTATCCAAGAAAGCAGAACAACAGCCATACTTGTGTACCCATACTGGCCAACCCAGGTGTGGTACCCACAGCTCCTACAGTTGATGAAATCTCCTCCAATATCAATCAAAATGCACCGCAAAACCATTATTCTCCCACATCAACCAGAACAAGTCCACCCATTATATCCCAAACTTCAACTTCATGGATGTCTCTTATCAGGGCATCCTTAGCTGCTCAAGGCATAACGGGGGAACCTCAGGACATCATCGTGGCGTCATGGCGAGATGGAACCCGCAAACAATACTGCACATATATTACAGCCTGGTTAAAGTACTGCTCTGATTGTAACATCAGCCAAGTCAATCCCAAGCTGCAGCAAGTCCTTGATTTCCTTACTCTGCAATCTAAACGTGTGGGATATAGTGCGGTTGCAACTGCCCAAAGTGCACTGTCAAGTTTCATTAAAGTTGATGGTGTAAAAGTGGGTGACCACTCCTTGGTGTCAAGGTTTATGACTGGCCTGTTTAATCAAAAGCCAGCCCTTCCACGCTACTCTGAGACTTGGGACCCCCAAATAGTGCTTAACCACCTTAAGACATTTCCAGCTATTGATGATATGTCACTGAAACAGCTTACCCTGAAACTGGTCATGCTTATGGCCCTATTGTCTGCACAGAGAGTTCAGACTTTACAGTCCTTGTCCTTGGAAGAAATGAGTACCCTACCTGGAAAGTATGTCTTTCGCATCTCTTCTGTTTTAAAACAAACAACTGCCAAAGGGGGCCAGAACAGACATTTACTACCTGTTACTTTTCATAGTTACCCCCTGGACAAACGACTGTGTATTGTGGAGCTACTTTCAGCTTATGTTAAAAGAACCGCTCCTCTCAGGAAAGAGACAAAGCAGTTGCTTCTTTGCCATGCTGAGCCTCATGGACCAGCTTCAAGGGACACAATATCACGTTGGATAAAACAAACCATGAAGGATGCGGGAATTGATACTACGGTTTTCAAACCCCACAGCACTAGGGGTGCCTCTACTTCAGCAGCTAAAGCATTGAATGTTCCTGTTCAGGTTATAATGAACACTGCTGGATGGCGTTCTGATTCTACTTTTGCCAAATTCTATGATCGCCCTGTCCTCACTGCAAACAACTTTGCTGCAGCAATTCTGGGAGATAAGAAATAATATATTGTAATCTCAAATAACTCCCTTCTTTGAGCCAGTGCATATTCAAACAATGCCTTATATCGATATCAGTTGTTGTTGCAGTATTTACTACTATCATGTAAGAGGCCTATTACAAATACACATTATGTTGTGT